TTTTTTTTGTAGATGCATGATGTCTTTACCTATCATTTGGTATATTTTTTTTATAAATCTGACTTTTTACCTGCCTACAGGGGGGGATTCAAAATGACAACTTTTTCACAAAAAATTGACTTTTTCAACTTAAATTTTGAAAGTGTTCCGGAAAGTCTGACACTTTTATATATATCTTAAATTAAAGCTAATGTAATATACTTTATCATGGAAAAAAAAAATTTCGGACTTTATTTTATCTTCAAGGTGAAAATGGCTACCAAATGCTATTATTGTGTGAAAATTCTCAATTTTTTTTTTTACATTTTTAACTTTATTATGCTATAACTTTTTGAAAAATGTATTGATCAATATAATTTTTTTATGGGAAATACTATTTTCTAATAATCTCTTTTTTATTCGACATACTTTGTCTTAATCAGGATATTAATAAGGAACTAGCAGTTTATGAAGCTTTTGGAATAATCCACCAATTTTTTAAAATTAAACACTATCTAAAGATTTGCATCGAAGCGTTTTTTTTTTGATAGTGATTTTAATCACTGTCAGATATCATTATACTTGATCCAACTATGCCACGTCACCACTGTGCCGCGACCCCCCTGTGCTTGGTTTTTTTTACTATTATTAAAAAAAGTAAAATATTTCTTTATTTATTAACTAGTAAAAAAATTATAAAGTAATTTTCTCTAAAATCTATTATGGTTGTAATACACTAATATAACTCTTTTTATTCATAATTTAAATGTAATATTTATATTTTTGATAAAATGGTTTGAAAGTAACGTGAAAGACTACGTTAGAGCAAAGCTTAGATCATAATTTCTTTCTTACAAAAACATTCCTATAATTTATTATATTGATATATATAGAGTCATTCTTTAATCGTGAACCACATAATTTAATGAAAAAAATTAAAATAATATTTTTACATTTCAATTGACATTTAACATTTTATTTTTATGGAGTGCAATTTATTTTGATTGAAATAAATATTCTAAATATATTATTTAAATATCATTTTTAAAATTTGGTATTCTTAAAATATGTATATACAAGGTTATTATTTTCTCATAAACTAATTATTGAATCTAAAAATGGAAATTCTTTTTTGCTTTTATTTATTTACATACTTTCCTCGATTTATCAATCGTGAAGTATTTTTAAGGATACCTTATAAGGATGTCAATTTTATTTTATCAAATGACATCGTGTATAATAACTTATTTATTAGATATTATTAAGAAAATTACTAATCGATTACAACTTTTTGACCAGTATGTCGGAAGTTTTTAACAATTTAAAATAATGACTGACTGGAGATGGAGTCATGGGTGCTACAATTTTTATAACTAGACATTTCTTGGCCTCACTCTTACTCCTACTTTGGTATGAAAATCCTAATAACTTCTGAAATATTGGTACAAACGTTGCTATTGAACGGTCATTTTTTTAAATTGATCTTTATCTAATAAATTAATTAGTTAATTATACGTGTTGCCATTAAAAAAATATAAAGTTGACACTCTTATAAGGTATTAGAGATGAGCATAAAAAATACTTTTTGATTGATAAATAGAACTAAAAGAAACCATTAAAAAAATTATGAATATTGTTATTTTTCTAATAATTAAGTGGTTCATACAAATTAATCACTTTGTGTATATATATATAATTAATCGTGTAATTTTTATTCAGATGATATTGACCATTGTACGTGTTTTACAAACAAAACATCGAAACTATTACGTGAGCGACAATAACCCTATCCAATGTCGTTGTCACACTAACTTTGAAGTACTTATAAATGAAATGAAAAAAGAAAACGAAAAAATATTAGATCAATTGTTGGAAAACAGAGAAATGATTGATAAAATATTGGATATAACAAAAAATTATAGTGGTAAAAATACTTTAACTTTTATAAACTATTATTTATAATTATTTAAAATAATATCTTTAGTTAAGCTTAAGCTTACCTCTGAGTTAATGAATTCAAAATTACCACCTCCTCCACCACCTCTTGACCAAGATGCTCTTTCATTCATAACTATATCAAAAAATAATATTATAAAAAATTCATCAAAAATGTCCCGAACCATAATCGATTACGGAAGACCTGTGATTACTGTAGCTGACTTACAAAAAGTCAAACTAAAAAAAATTTCAATTAATAAGGTAGTTAATATTTATATGATAATGTTGTTGTTATTTAAAAATTATTATAAAATATTTTATTTAGGAGGTCTATAAAAATCAGTCAATAAATGAAATATGCAAATTTACTGAAAATATCAATTTTAATAATATTGATTGAAACTCAAATATGTCTTATAGTAAAACGGAATTTCATCAGTGCTATGTAAATGGTTTGTAATATTAAAATAAAACATTTGTCATAAGTAATGAGAATGGTTTACAAGAAATTTCCTTACAATAATTATTATAATTACATTAAACTTATGTATAAATTATGTTATGTCATGTTTTAAAGTTGATTTACAATTTTTCAATTTACTCTCTATTGATAAAATCGTGTTTGTCTACATATATTTTTATAATCATTAAATATTTATTTAGTTTATTAGAAATATTTTTCAATCATTTAAATTTTTTTATTAAACTAATCATCGATTGATTTTTAGATAAACAATTTGTATGTATTTTTAATGTCATGTTTAATTTTCATATTTATAAGTTTAAACCTATCAAAAACAAAAAACCTAACTCTTGAATAATTGTTTCATCGACGTAATTAATCTAAGATTCATTTTCTCAAACAGGATATTTTAATGGGGGGTTAACAAAAAAAAAACTGTTGTGATATTATTTAGGTGATTTTTTATCTAAAATATTAAGTTACCTTGACCGTGAGGAAATTAGTTCTTTAGACCTCTTTGACTGAATACAGCACTATTATTTCTAATTATCCCTACTAATAGCTAACATAATTGATTTGCTTAAATAATAATAATGAAAAAAAAAATTATTTAAATAATGATTATAAGACTGATTAATATAATTTTACATATAATTTGTAAACTTTGAAACGAGACTAAATCCATTACTAAGTACACTATAATATTTTAATAACAATTTTTTTAATTTATTGAAACTTTCAAATAAAAAAAAAAATCTTTATTTTGACACCTTTTAAATTTTAGTTTCAATTTAATTGATAAAATAATTTTATATTAGCCATTATTAGTTGGATAAAAATGTCTTAAGAAAATATATTTCATTGAAAATTATTTGAAATTATTTTAATAACGTTGGTTAAAGTTTCTTAAAACTATTTGCTTAATTATTATTGCCTATTACTGCCTAATTTCAAAAAATTTAGATAAAAGATCTCAAAATAACTCTGAATTGACTTTATAGTTACGTAAGAATAACCTGATAAGGATTACATAAAGGATATAAACACGTATAAAAGGGTTTAGAAATTAATTGAATAATATAATTAAATGTGTTATGTCTGCACAGTGAATACCTTTCTAATACGGATGGTGTTTGCTGATCTGTAATTCTCAATTAATCGGATTGTACATAACCATCTCATTTTGCCTAAACCTTCTATAGCTGTTCACTTATGTATCTCACGTGTGGTATTAATATAGAATTTGAAGTCAACGTCACAAGGCGATCTAAAATGCAACGAATAAACCCAATTATGATTATGACTAGGTGTAATATTATTATTTCTACACTAAACAGGACAAAAAATTTTTTTGGTACATCCAAAATTAATACAGTAGAAATAAACGGACAGTTAAAATATAAAGACCTTTATTATTTTTTATTTTTAACAATATAAGAACAAACAAATAATAATAACACCATCGTTTGATATTGAATTTTCCAGACGGCAGTTATATTAGCTGTTTGTTCTACTAACCCTTCGTGTTATTCCCCTGTCTACGACACAAATAAAACCAAGAGAGTAAAAAATAAAAAAAGGTTTATTGGCCGATACTCGCCAGAGACATTTTTGGCTGTGTCGGGTTAGGACGCCCAAGAGTATTGAATATAGAATATCATACAATACGCAAAAAAATAAATCCAGTAATCATTCTGGAATTTTCAAATCTTATTATTTTCAACATATCATAAAATTGTGTAACAATGGACAATTTTTTATTCAGATTTCTTTTTTTAAATTTTACGTCGTTTTTCATAGCATTCATAGTATAGTTAGCCATATCGAGTCAAATCTGTTGCTAATAAGAATTTAGTAAAATTGTTCAATTTTATACTCTCAAATATGTTAATATGAAAAATAATGCAAACAAATTAACTAATTAAAGTAGTAATAAAATTAAAGTCAAATATCTTATCAACTTATTACTCATAAATTAAGGAATATATTAATTTTAATTTACAGTATAAATGAAAATAAATTTTTGTGATACATAAAAAATATTATTTATTTAATAGAATTCAACAACTCATAAACTCCTAATGTGATGTAATTTAGGTCAATTTATACTAGTGATTATTTTAGATGTAGTTCAGTTTACTATTATTATTAAATCAAATTAAAAAATAGATAAAAACATTAGTTCCTTAAAAATAATAAATAATGAATTATAACTGAGATAAGAAAATCTACGTATGGTAAATAACAATGATGAGCGTGATTTTTTTAATATACATTTTAAAACATTACTATGTCTTTTGGTTTATTACAAAATAAATGACAAAGTTGAAAATCATGAATGTTAATAAACAGATAGTTGTATATTATGAATATTTAATATGTTAACTTTTTTATGTGTAAAGATGCAGTCTTGTTTTGAAGCTATAGTAACACGACACTTCTATATCAAGAACCATTAAAAAAGAGATATACGTGAGTCTCATTTAAGCAATAACTGTGTCAAAAGAACCGTTATCATTATGTATTATATTATACTATATATTATCATTATAATTGGGAAAGTGTGCATGAAGCGTGGAGCATGAGAGACCGTGTAAAAATAAAAATGTCATTATATTGAAAGTGATATTAAGTGTAAAATTAAATAACTGCTTTAATAAATACTTCTATGTAGAATATAAACAGATAACAGTTAAGCCATATATTAAATAAATCATAATATATGGAAATCACGTAGGAAAATAATAAAATTCACTACTATATTAAACATTTTATGAGTGTAAATTGATAGATTGTAATTCGATACAATTCCAATAACATGAAAAATAATTAAATTGACGATTGTTAATGATTTTATTAAAAATCGCTGAAAAATGTTCTATGTAAAACTATTTTTTAAGATAAAGAAATTGGTGTATACTTTTGTTATTTATTAATAAGAAATCTTTTGAAATCGTAACCGTAAAAGTTAACAAATTTTAAACAGAAATAGAATGGAAATAATAAAAAGTATTATAAGTTTTTTATATTAATATGTTAACATTCTTTTTCTTCTTTTTTTCCTCGCCTTTATCACAACTACTTGCAATAGATCACCATTATTCTAAATTCCCACTTGATACAATCACCTACATTTACGCAGAAATCAGCCGTTTCCATACCGCATTCAATAATAACCCTTCAATTAAGGGCCTTATCTCTTTTTTGGTCTTCTTCTACCTCTTATTCTTCAACATTCATTTCCATAACTCTTACAGCTTCCGATTCCTCTCTTTTCATAACCATTTAAATCTATTTTCTCTCATATCATCTTCGATTGACGTTAGACCTATACTCTCTCTTATATGTTTGTTTCTTATCCTATGTTCTCTAGTCAATCCTCTCAACTTTCTAAACATTATAATCATTACTCTATTTTTTTGTCAACCGTCTAAGACTCTGAATGATACATCACAGCTGATCTTACTACAGTCATAGAGAACTTACCTTTCAGCTTCATTCGCATAACACACCAGACGCTTCTCTTCACTTCGCCACCCTCACATATTTCTGTGTCTTACATCCTCGCCAATACCACCCTTCTTTTGCACAACTGATCCTAAATACTTAAAACTTTCCATTTCCCCTATCGCGTTCTCGTTTATTGTCACTGATCTTCTCATTTTACCTATCTCATGTTCTCTTTTTTCAAACTCATACTTTATATATTTTGTTTTACTCTTATATATTCTTAATTTATTTCCTTTAATAGCTGATCTCTACACTTCTAGCCTTTGATAAACTTCATCCTTATTTTCTCCTATTAATACTATATCGTCAGTTAACTACATGCACAAAGATACCTCTCCATATATTTCTCTAGTAATTTCATCCATCATTACAGAAAATAAGTAAGGGCTTAGAACAGAAGCTCAGTGCACTACTACTTTTACCCTAAAATCTTCTGTCACTTCGCTCACACTTTTTTACTCTGGTACAAGTGCTATCATACATATCATATGATTATTAATGTATCTTTTTGGACTCCTTTTTTCATTAATGCCCACTTTAAAACCTCTCTCGGTACTCTATCATACGCTTTCACCAAATATATAAATACCATGCACAATTTTTTTCTTCTTTACCCTAAACTTTTCTATTAGTTGCCTCAGTAATTTTTCAAAATACTCTTTCTGCCTTTTTTTAACATCATTATTACGCATTAGCGCCCTCTATCATAACCTTTTATACACCTTACATATTGATAATCTTTAGTCCGTTTTTCTATTATTTTTGACAGGCTATAGAATACTTTTTCACCTCCTTTGTTCCTAGCCTAATTTATTAGACCTCTTAAACTTTGCTGTACTTATCGCACACTTAGTTTCTTTAAACAAGTTTTTGTACTTTCTTAGCATTCTACTCCTACTCTCATCGATAATCACCTTTGTAGTATTTTTTACACAACTAGCAAATCTATTCACACACATCATTTATGTCTCCCTCGACATTTCATACCTTCCTCTTTTTTGCTGTCTTTAGTAACTCTTTTTCTTTTTTCCCTTTCAATTTCCACTACCAGGTTATCGTTACTCCTCCTATTGGTATGGTATTATGGATATGGTCTTTCTATTCTTATATACTCTTTTCCCACAACACCACCAGTATAAGTTTTGTATTTATATTCTCTCGCCTGGGATAACTGAAAAATGTTTTAATCACTTTATATTGTCCCTTTTCCAAATGAAATAATTAATCTGTGATCCCATACTCCCACTCTTATAAGTTATATAATGTTCTTTCCTCTTTCTACAATATCTATTAACCAAAGTAAGGTCATACAATTCTGTGAAATCCAGGATTCTTTCTCCAACCTCATTCTTTCCATTATAATCATACCCTCAATGTACTCTTTCATATCCTTTTCTTCCATTATACACATGTCCATTCATATCTCTACCTATCACCGTATGCTTATTACCAGGCAATCATTGCAT